TTTCCATTAAATAGCTTTTTCTAAATGAATTGGTCAAAGCAAACTCAAAGAAAAATTAAATGTAAGCTTTCAGACAATGGAATCATGAAAAGGAGGCAGATGTCTTTATTAAGGTATATTTAATATTGTTCCAGTTAGTTTCTTGAATTTGTTTTTTTTAAATCATGCCTTTATTCTACAGGGCTATGAAAATTTCACACATGTATCCTATTATCCCAGGAAACTCCCACAGCCCATCTGCCATCATTGTCTCTGGTGTTAAACATTTGCCAAATCCCACCCCTTCTTCCCCTATCCAAAGCTGCAATTCGCCTGCATTATTGCAATATCCCCTTGATTTCCCATTGTCCATATTTGCCTGTCTATGGTCTATTTAAAAACTTAGATTATATTATCACTTTGCTTAAATTCAGTGTCTTTTACGTGCACTTAGAATAAATGCCAAATGCCTTCTTCCCTCTCAGAATGCACATAGGGTCATTCTCCCACTGGTTCACTGGGCTGAAGCCAAACTCACCTTCTTTGTGTTCTTTGAATGCAACATTTGTTAACTTTGGGTCTTTAAGCTTGCTCTTTTTTTCTGTCTGGAACATTCTTTTCTGTTCCCCACTCTTGTTCCACATTCATGGCTGTTTCTTCCTTATCTTCACATCTCAGCTCAAAAGTTTATCTCTTGACAAGACCTTTCCAGATCACACTACTGAAATCGTCTTTGCACCATTTACTCTTACTTGCCTGGTTCTATAACCTGGTTTTATTTCTTCATAGCTGTTATCTTGGAATTGACCTGATATTCTTGTTTTTTACTTGTTGGCTCATCTGCCACCCAACTAGATTGCAGGCTCTCTGAGAGTGGGGTTGTGCTATCTTGTTCCTGTACCCTGGCATCTGAACCAGTTTTGTGCCTGGTGCAATGTTTTAATAATGGCTGGATGGTACAGTGTGAACACGGAAAATCAGAATGATACTTGACCAATCTGAAATGAGATAGGCTAGTTGACTATCAGATATGAAATATTCTTCCATGAGTACATGTTGATACCCATGTTACAGATAGAACAAGCAAGTGCTCATTTAGAGAGTCCTGTTATTACTTCATTATAAGACTACATTTGATATTTAATATTGATCTTCCAATTTTTTTTCTGAATAAACTTTTGCATATAAAACAGAGGAGCAATCAAAGCTTAAGTTTTCTAAAAGGTGAACACAAAAGTATTGCCTATGTGACATGACTCCTACTGGTACTCTTAGTATTAATAACAACAAAAACCATTTTTCTTTTCATGGTTCACTGAAGGCTTGACCTCCTGGGATCAAGCAATCCTCCCACCTCAGCCTCCTGAGTAGCTGGGAGTACAGGCATGCCACCACACCTGGCTAAGTTTTGAACATTTCTTGGGAGATGGGGTCTTGCTGTTGCCCAGGCTGGTTTTGAACTCCTGGCCTCAAGCGACCATCCTACCTCAGCCTCCAGAGTCATTGGAGTTACAGGCATGAGCCACTGCACTGAGCTCAACAATTTTAATAATAGATGAACAAGTTAAAATATACTTTTTAATTTAAGAAAATTACTTATGAGGTTGCTGATAGGATATAGAAATTCATTCCACATGTGGTTTGAATTTTGCAAAATTTAAATTTTCTCTGAAGTTGATGGGTGACGTGAAGTCAACATTTACTTAATTAATGGCCACTGTAGGTTTCAGGGGCTAGAACAGCCAGATCTGTTTTTGTTTTTCCTTTTCAGTGTGTGGTTCTTAGGTTTAAAGAGTCCATTGTAACGAGAGTCAAGGTAAATGAGACAGTGTTATTCTCGGAATTGTGGAACAAAAAAGGAAATTAATAGCAAAGAACAGTGAAAAGTGGTAAGATTTAGGAAGCTGAAAGTTCAAGCCAGCAGAAATCTGGTTAGTTCATGACCCAGTACCTCTTAATGGGAACTATTTCTTTTCTTCAAGAAGTTGTTACTCCGGGAGCTGTAAACATCACCAGTCAACATGTTTTGAGTCCGTCGCTCTTCTACCTCCCCTTTCCCCAGATCCAAGAAGTAGTTCCTACTGTGCTGCCAATCTGCTCTCTGGGCTCGGGCCATTCACCTACCATTGTGAGGTCCTGAGAGAACTATCATGCATGTTCCAGAAGGCCACGTGCAGAGAATGGTCAACAGCATGACGTTCCTGCTGGCACTCCTTCTCAGAGTGACAGTCTGATGTGTGGCCATAACTTGGTATCGTGAGATGAGCAGTATGTTTAGGCTCTGGAAGCCAAGTTTCTTATTTTTGGTGAGGGGAGGTTCTGAGTTATTGGGTGTATGACCAGGAGCAAGACATTTCCTCTGAACCCCAGGGTCCTTACCTGTAAAATGAAAAGCTTGGACCAGATGACCTCTGAGGTCTTTCGAATTCTGTCATCAGATGTTTTCTACAGGTGGTTCTCAAAGTGTGTTCCCAGGATCTGCAGCATTGGCATCAGCATCTCCTGGGACCTTGTTAGAAATGCAAACTCTCAGTCCCCACCTTGACTCTCTTAAGTAGAGCTTGTGGAGTGGAGCCAGCAATCTGCTTTTTAATAAGCTCTCCAGGTAATACTGATACACACTCCAGTTTGAGAACCTCTGCTTTATGGCATTGGCCTGGAGCTCAGGAGCTGGCCAGCCACTGATCGTCACGCTGGGCTTTCAGCAGATTTCCAGGATGCACCTGAGACTGATCTGCCTAGAGAATACTTTGTTGCTTGAAGGTGAAGAAATCTGTCCCTTGTCAATGTGATGAAGGGACTTTAAGGGATGAGCTAGGTAATTTGTAGGGGTCTTTATGCATTCACTCCAAAGTGCCAGGCTGGTGGACGAAGAGGAAGCACATGTGTATGTTTTACCATGGCAAGAATCGTTTCAAAAAGTAGCAAATGTTCATGTTTGCATAGATCCTTGTACTTGGATGTGATCTTCAAAAGGTTGTGCTCCTAGAAACTGCAATGATCTTATGGCTAATAACCATTAATTACCTTTCTATTAATGGATTTAGTGGTGCTGAGGAAGCATATTCTAATAAGAGCCATCCTATGTCTGTCTTCTCATTGAAAATTCACCCTCCATGGAACATTGGCTGGCGCTGTGATTTGAACGTTTGTCTCCTTCAAATCTCATGTTGAAATTTGATCCCCAGTGTTGGAAGTGGAGTCTAATGAGAGGTGTTTAGGATGTGGGGGTGGATCCCTCGAGAATAGATTAGCACTCTATTCTCTCTATTCTTGAGAGAGCTGATTGTTCAAAAGAGCCTGGCACTTCCATACCTCTCTCTGGCTTACTCTATTACCAGGTGATCTCTACACACACCAGCTCTCCTTCATCTTCCGTTAAGAGTAGAAGTAACCGGCCGGGCGCGGTGGCTCAAGCCTGTAATCCCAGCACTTTGGGAGGCCGAGGCGGGTGGATCACGAGGTCGAGAGATCGAGACCATCCTGGTCAACATGGTGAAACCCCGTCTCTACTAAAAATACAAAAAATTAGCTGGGCATGGTGGCACGTGCCTGTAATCCCAGCTAGTCAGGAGGCTGAGGCAGGAGAATTGCTTGAACCCAGGAGGCGGAGGTTGCGGTGAGCCGAGATTGCGCCATTGCACTCCAGCCTGGGTAACAAGAGCGAAACTCCGTCTCAAAAAAAAAAAAAAAAAAAAAAAAAAGAGTAGAAGTAACCTGAGGCCCTCATCAGATGCAAATGCTTAATTTTGAACTTTCTAGCCATTAGAATAATGACCCGAATAAACCTCTTTTCTTTATAAATTACCCAGCCTCAGTTATTCCTTTATAACACAGAATGGATTAAGATGGCTGGTATTTCCATCCAAAGAGTCCTTGTTGTCAAGGACTCATGCTTTTTAAAAATTGACAAATTCTAATATTTCGTGCTATTTTAATGAATGAGAGAAAAAAACTAAAATGTATTTTTTTATTGTTTTGCCTGAAAGGCGTCTTCTGTATTGATGATCAGTTGTCAATTATCATGAGATGGGTTATCCATGCCACTTCTCTCTTGAATCTGCCATAAAGAAGATCTTCCTTTCTGAATAACCCATCCCAGAATATTTGTTTCTGTTGCTCAGCTACTGGGCAATTGAAAAATATATGTTAATTTTATTACTAATCAAAATCAAATAAATGAAGGTGATTAATCTTTTGCAGAATCATCTAATCTATTTAGTGGTAAGCCCTTAGTAGTCTTAGTCAATACCACTCAAAATGCACATGTGGACCCAGGCTGAGCAGCACACACAAAAGCAGTACAGAAATTGAGAATAAGTGTTTAGAAGACTTTATAGCAATTTAACATTGCTGTGGCATCAGGGTATGTTTATTGCATTTCATAAATATAATAGTCTAAGAAGTTTCCATCAGTTCAACTGGTGGAAAAATTTAAAAATCGGTTCCTTCCCACAGAGTTTGAGAAATACAAGTCAAACCTTTATTCTGTGGATTGGTTGACCAAGGTCCAGAGGAGTGAGGGCACTCGGGCAGATGTCACAGGGCCAGGTGGTTAGTAGCTAATTGGCAGAAGGGCCAGGAGTTAGTCTGAGTCTTCATGCTGAATTTCCTAGTTTCTAAGGCAATATTGATTATGAGAGATGCTATGATTTGAAAACAGACTTTCAGAAAAACAAATGCCACCACAGTAAATATGTACATCAATGCAAAGGCATTTTAACCTCAAAAATGTTCATTTATATAGATATAAGCCTTAGACTCAAGCATACAGGTAATTTACTTTTCTCTTTTTTCCTTACCAGATAAAGCAAAAACTTCTCTATTTATTGACATAGTATTTAATTTCATTAAATCAATTTAAGTGCTAAAATTAGGCTAGAACAGAAACCTCTGTGTATTGCCATCAGCCCACTGTGTTCTATTTCAAGTGGTCTTATATGAGATCTTGAGAAGAGTTACTTCTTGGAATAGTGGGCTGTCATATATACAGAAGGCTAAAAACATAATAGTGACCATGCGTTTGCTTCAGCAGGACATATAAAATTGGAGCAATACAGAGAAGAATAGTGTGGTCCCCGTGCAAGGATGACATGGAAATTCGTGACGCATTTAATATTTTTTGACTTTGGGGACTCATGGGAAATGGTGGGAGGGGGTGAAGGATAAAAGACTACACATTGGATTTACTGCTTGGGTGATGGGTGTGCCAGAACTCAGAAATCACCACTGAGGAACTTATCCATGCAACCAAACACCACCTGTTCCCCAAAAACCTATTGAAATAAACAAAATAGTAATAGTGACCAAATATGTGAGAGCTCCAGTGTATGCTATTATTTGTTCCAGTGTCTGAATAACTGTGGATGAGCCACATCCTGGCAATTTGATAAGAGTGTTGAAGAGTTTCACATGAGACCTTGAACTCCAGGAGGTCTTTGCTCACCACTGAACCCACAGTGCGAAGTGCAGAGCTTAGCTCAAATACTGGTTGAATGAGGATGTGTCTCTCTTTTTATAGTGGTTTGCATGAAATACCAGCTGAGTGGTATAAAGAATTCCTTACAGTAGCTTAAAGTCTCTTTTGTTTGGGATAGTCTAAGAAGGTTCATAAAAGGAACACAGGCGGGGCTGGGCCTTGAAGAAAGGAAAATTAGAAAATTCCAGAATCGATTTTTTTGGGGATTAGTGGTGTGAGGATATGAAAATTGAGCCTGGGTTCCAGAATAAACCTCAGAAATGAAATGAGATTTGGAAAATAATCCATCCTCCCTCCCTCCCTCCCTCCCTCCCTCCCTCCCTCCCTTCCTTCCTTCCTTTTTCTTTTCTCTTCTCTTCTTTGAGACAGGGTCTTACTCTGTTGCCTAGACTGGAGTGCAGTTGTGTGATCATAGTTCACTACAGTCTCAGACTTCTGTGTTCAAGGGATCCTCCCATTTTAGTCTCCTGAGTAGCTGGGACTACAAGTGCATCAATATGCCCAGTTTATTTATTTATTGTAGAGACAAGATCTCACTTTGTTGCCCAGGCTGGTCTTGAATTCCTGGCCTCAAGAAATCCTCCTGCCTTAGCCTCCCATAGCAGCCAGTGGGGCAAGGCTCCTGCCTGCTCCTGGGCCCTGAGAACACAGGGATGCATGGGTCTGCAGCTGCAGGTTGGGTGGCTGCAGCAGCATCCAGGCAGCTCCCACCCCAACTCAGAAGGGGCAGGGATCCTGCTTGTTCTGGGTTCCTAACGGCTTCCCTGCTGCGGCTGGCATCGTGCCAGTGGCCACTCCAGATGGCTTGCCACTGCCATCATTACCATTTAGTATCAACATTCTTGCATAAAGAAAGAATATTTGACCTTTGAAAAGTAGAACAGCTTAATGGAAGATAACACTTTAAATTGAATATGCTCATTATGTTTTTTTAAATTTTACTTTTTGCTAATGAAAAATTTACTAGATACTGACATTGTACTGTGACACAATGATTTATTGTATGCATCTTACATCACAAACTTTCAGATTTTCTTTATGGACAAATGTGAGTAGGTACTCTTGATTTTTTTTACCTTTTTTTTTTTTCTTTTCTCACATAAAAAGTGGCGTATTTGTGACAGAGACTGCTAGCAGTCTCCCGAATATCTGTTCTCTGTAAACAAGATGTTTTATCTGGGCACATGGATAGCCAGCTAAATACCATATTTCTTAGCTTCTCTGCTGCTAATTGTGACCATGCTGTAGCCCATGGGATGTAAACTGAAGTGATACAGCCATTTCTGAGTTATGATCTCAAAGGACAGGAGGCTTTCTTCCCTTCCAGGGGAAGTTGTAACCTGATGTTAGGAGCTGTAGCAGCCATATTTTACCATGAGATGGAAGTAAGTTGTTAAGAGTAAAAAAGCAACGTGATAGGAAAGGTCTATGTCTCTGAGACCATGAAGGTGTCATATTAGTCCTGAAGTATAAATGATTAGACCTTTTTAAATGGCAACTAACCTGGTATCCTAGCTAATAAAATAATATACACGGTTTTGCTCTTAGCCTCTTGATACCCAACAATATATCTGGGAGTTCTTTCCAAATCTTAGGCAATCCTAAGGCAGAAAAAATCAGACTCTAATGCAGGCACACCCCTCCCCCCGGCCCCGATGCCATTTATCCGCGCCCACCCCCCGCCCCCCCGCACTTCAGGAAGGGGCATCTCTTTCATTGGTGGTCAGTGAGAGGAACACAGTATGTGGCGGCCCTCTGACGGTCTGAGGGACAGTGAACTGGCCCCCTGTGTAAAAAGTTTGGAGACACCTGCTCTAATGTGGGAGGAAGGGTATAGGATGAGGCTGTGGGCCAGCTGGTGAGCCGAAGAGCTCTGTTGATGTCTCTTATCCTCCCATCTTCATCAGTATTATAGTGGGATAAAACTGTTTTCTCTGCAGCTGAGTTTTCAAATATTTGATAGGGCCTTTCTGTGTGCAAAGAGACATTTGGAGCTGCCTGTTTTAGTTGACACTGACTTTATTAGAGCTGAATATAAACTGTAAAAAAAAAAACACCCAGTTTTTCTAAGTCTATAATGTTCATTTTAATTTTTGCAAATCTGGTAATTTTTTATATTTAAAAATTAAAGGGATGTTTCTTAATCCTTTGATTAGTTTTCAGTTTACTGCTGTTTGCTTTACTTATTCAGTTAATTAAATTACATTTTCTTTAAACATTTTTAAACCTATTTATGCATTTTAAAAACCCAAGTATTGTCAAATATTTCAAACCTTGGGAAAAGCTGGCAAGCAAAATATAAGCACTTAAGTGATTCTGGTAGATCTCATAAGCCTAAAGTTATAGATTAAATAAATCTTACTGTCCTGGCCAGGCGTGGTAGCTCATGTCTATAGTCCTAGCACTTTAGGAGGCCGGGGTGGGAGGATTGCTTGAGACCAGGAGTTTGAGACCAGCTTGAGAAGCATGGAGAAACCTCATCTTTACAAAAAGTACAGGAATTAGCTGGGCGTGGTAGCACGCATTTGTAGCCCCATGTATTAGGAAGGCTGAGGTGGGAGGATCACAATAGCCCAGGAAGTTGAGGCTGCAGTGAGCCTCAACATTTTGCTAATCAAGCCACTGCACTTCAACCTGGGCAACAGAGAAAAACTCTGTCTCAAAAAAACCCCACAAAACCGTACTCTGTTAATTTGAAACATTCTAATATTGTTTCTAAATGTAATCAAATCAAGTAATCACATTTATACTGTTAAATCATAAATTAATCACAACTCTGATAGATTATTTAAATACCATAAATAAGGATAATACTTTTACAATTTAGCGCCGGCTCATGTTTACTATACTTATTTTAAAGTTCAACTTAAGAATATTACTTTTTATTATTCTTTAAGTGCTGGGATACATGTGCAGGGTTGTTACATAGGTATACACATGCCATAGTGGTTTGCTGCAACCATCAACTCGTCATTTACATTAGGTATTTCTCCTACTGCTATCCCTCTCCTAGTCTCCTATCCCCTGACAGGCCCCAGTATGTGATGTTCTCCTCCCTGTGTCCATGTGGTTCTCATTGTTCAACTCCCACTTAATGAGTGAAAACATGCAGTGTTTGGTTTTCTCTTCCTGTGTTAGCTTGCTGATAATGATGGTTTCCAGCTTCATCCATGTTCCTGCAGAGGACATGGACTCATTCTTTTTTATGGCTGCATAGTGTTCCATGGTGTATATGTGTCACATTTTCTTTCTTTTTTTTAATTGCATTTTAGGTTTTGGGTACATGTGAAGAACATGCAAGATTGTTGCATAGGTACACACATGGCAGTGTGGTTTGCTGCCTTCCTTCCCCTCACCTGTATCTGTCATTTCTCCCCATGCTATCTCTTCCCACTTCCCCACCCCCTGTCCCTCCCCCATTTCCCCCCAACGGACCCCAGTGTGTAGTGCTTCCCTCCCTGTGTCCGTGTGTTCTCATTGTTCAACACCCACCTATGAGTGAGAACATGCGTTGTTTGATTTTCTGCTCTTGTGTCAGTTTGCTGAGAATGATGGTTTCCAGGTTCATCCATGTCCCTACAAAGGACACGAACTCATCATTTTTGATGGCTGTGTAATATTCCATGGTGTATATGTACCACATTTTCCCTGTCCAGTCTATCATCGATGGGCATTTGGGTTGGTTCCAGGTCTTTGCTATTGTAAACAGTGCTGCAATGAACATTCGTGTGCATGTGTCCTTATAGTAAAATGATTTATAATCCTTTGGATATATACCCAGTAATGGGATTGCTGGGTCACATTTTCTTTATCCAGTCTGTCATTGATGGGCGTTTAGGTTGGCTGCAAGTCTTTGCAATTAGGAATAATTGCTGCAGTAACATATGTGTTCATGTGTCTTTATAGTAGAGTGATTTCTAATCCTTTGGGTATATAAGCAGTAGTGGGATTGCTGGGTCAAATGCTATTTCTGGTTCTAGATCCTTGAGGAATTGCCACACTGTCTTCCTCAATGGTTGAACTAATTTACACTTCCACCAACTGGACTTCTTCCTGGTTTAGTCTTGGGAGGGTATACATGTCCAGGAATTTATCCATTTCTTCTAGATTTTCTAGTTGTAATAGCATTCCTATTTCTTCACATAGTCTCCAGCATCTGTTGTTTCCTGACTTTTTAATGATTGCCATTCTTTGCCTCCCCCACCACCCATTTTCCTGCCTCAGCCTCCCAAGTAGCTGGAATGATTGCCATTCTAACTGGGATGAGATGGTATCTCATTGTGGTTTTGATTTGCATTTCTCTAATGACCAGTGATGACGAGCATTTTTTCATATGTTTCTTGGCCACATAAATGTCTTCTTTTGAGAAATGTCTGTTCATATACTTCACCCACTTTTTGATGGGGTTGTTAATTTCTTGTAAACTTAAGTTCCTTATAGATTCTGGATATTAGCCCTTTGTCAGATGGGTAGATTGCAAATGTTCTCCCATTCTGTAGGTTGCCTGTTTACACTGATGATAGTTTCTTTTGCTGTGCAGAAGCTCTTTAGTTTAATTAGATCCCATTTATCTATTTGGCTTTTGTTGCCATTGTTTTCAGTACTTTAGTCATGAAGTCTTTGCCCATGCCTATGTCCTGAATG